AATGAAAGATTATGTATGGCCAATTTGAATCGATCTTATTTAATCCCTCTTACCAATCAAATGAGAAGTAATATATAGGGATGATAGGATTTAAACCCGTGACATTTTGTACCCAAAACAAATGCGCTACCAATCTGTGTTACATCCTTTCAATTGGTCTACAGTGTCATTGTAGAAAATTCCTGTCTTGTTTTCTACATCATTGTTTCCTCCATTGATATATCTAATTTATCTAACCATTTCGTCTTTTTTTTTTGTCTACTTTGACATATAACATATAATAATGATAAAAGTCAAAAATTTATATATATATATATATATATATATATATATATATATATATATATATATATATATATATATATATATATATATATATATATATATATATATATATGAGTATTTTAAACAAGGTAATCAGTGAAAAAAGATGAAGCTTCTTGAATCAAGTTCAGTAAAAGAAGTGTAGCATCCAGAATGGCTAGCCAATGTGGTGTTAGTAAAGAAGACTAATGGAAAATAGGGAATATGTGTTGATTTCCCGGATTTAAACAAGGCTTGTCCAAAGGACTATTTCTCATTGCCCAGAATTATGGTTGATGCTACATCAAGGTATGAAATACTCACATTTGTGGATGCATTCTCCGGGTAGAACCAAATCATGATGCATAAACCATACCAAGAAAAGACCTATTTCATCATGGAAGAATGGACTTACTGCTATAAGGTAGTGCTTTTTGGTTTAAAAAATGCAAAAGCTACCTATCAAAGGTTGGTTAATTAGATGTTCATGGAGCTCCATAGACGTGTATGTGGACGATATGCTCATCAAAAGCCGCCAAGCTTGTGAACATATTGACCATCCCAGGGGAGCTTTTGAAATACTCAAAAAATACAACATGAAGCTCAACTCTACCAAATGTGCCTTCAGGGTCTCTTAAGAAAAATTGATGGGCTTTGTGGTGACATAGAAAGGTGTAAAGAACAACCTCGAGAAGATCTAGACACTCATAGACATGAGATCCCCACGGAGTGCCAAAGAAGTTCAAGTATTCACAAGAAGGGTAGTAGCCTTAAACTGGTTCATCTCCAAAGCAAGTGATAAGTGTTTTCCTTTCTTTAAAGTACTAAGGAAGGCATTTGAATGGAGCCCAGAGAGTAAAGAATCCTTCAAATCCCTAAAATAGAGGGAGAAAGAGATCCCCAAGATGATGGACCAGAAGGGGTTTTCCAGAGAAGGCCTCTGTGGGCTCAAACTCCCAACCAGAATTAGACACAAAAAAAATTTTGTTTTCACACTCCTTTACATTGGAAGAATAGCTTATCCCGAGATTGGTCTTCTCTCTCTTGGAAAAATAGAATCACCCCTCTGGCTTTGTCCTGATAGGGTATAAGCTTGTAACAGTGGAAGAACTCGACAATTGTGAGGTAAGCGTCGATGTCGTTGGCTCTTTCCAAAGAACACCAATGTCAATCAAGAACCCCCAACTATTGGGAGTTAATTGTGAAGGGGCAAACTTAAAAAAATGAAGGCCTTCCTTGATGTATCGAGGTATGGAAAAACAAAGCCCAGCCTCAAAGATTCTTGTAAAAACAACTTTGTTAGGACCGAATGAGTCGATTGTTACATCTAGAAAAGAGAGACGAAGGCAAACAGAATCAGGAATCTATTAATGCCTTTTGATTTCTCCCAAAGTTTTCTCATCAAGAGAGCACCTGACTTGTTTTGCTCCCACAACTCTGATTGATGAGGAGACGATCTCCAAAATAAAGTTAGAATCCTTATTGGCCTTGTTGGCCCCAGATACAAGAAATGGTGTACCCTAAGACAAAGTTCAGTATAAGTGGTAAAACAATGATGATCGAGAGACAAGCAAGAACCAAAGATAGATTCAAGTTGAACCGAAGAGGACCTATCGACAAAATGCCCTAAATGTAAAGATCATAACCTTTCCACTTAAGAAAACAAAATTGGTAGAAGTGAAATTAAAGAGTATGACTCTAACCTATATAATCCAGCTTGGAGAGTCCAAGTAAAATAGAAAGAAAGGAAGGAGGTCAAGAATAAGGGAACATAAGTGTACCCGAATTCTAGAAGAGTTCTTGAAACGCGTTGGACACTGGCAGCAAGATGTGTTTAAATACTAGCCACACAACAAGTCTTCGACAATTACATTCACATGAGCCACACTCTATTTCCCGAGGCACTAACGAACAAGTGCATTAAATGTGGACCATGTACAAGCCAAGCTAAGTTAAACTAGGGGCAACTGATCACTAAAGAATGAACACATGCTCGGAGAAAGGAGATCCACAGCTCGGATTAGGCCTAGCAACTCGACAACTCACCTATCATTTAGCTTGGTAAAATCCAGCTCCATAACAAATTTGACTAGCTCAACTCAGTTAAGACCTCCACTTAAGACCACTTCCAATGCTTAAAGTGTAACTGCCTTATTTGGATAATGGGATGAGGAACCCCTAACAACACAATCAAGTTGGCCAATCAAAGGGGAAGGGAGGAGATCAACTAAAGTACAAATCATCTACTCCAATTGAATACTCTCCACCAAAAAAACCCAAATCTAACTTAGGCATCAAATGGTCAACTCCCAAAGCCCCCTAGTCCTCGACTTGCCTTGCAGGTACTCCACCGATCGTTTAGAGGGAGATCTCAATCACGGAGCTCATAGAGCAAATTATGAGCCCCTAAATAAAGCCATCATTATGGGCTCATGCCCAGCCATCCAAATGGCACAGGGCAGAGACCAACTCCCAAAAGCTGTCGCCACATTTCTACAGAGGCCAATTAGAAGCAGTTCATCTCTACCACCCCTTGTTATAGATAAGAAGCAGTACATTCCTTAAAAGGACAGCCACGGTTGAAGTGGCAAGCATCATCCGGAGGAGCCAATAACAAGGCTTCCTCCCTAAAGGTTGACGAACCTTACAAACTTCCAAACTCAATTTAGCCTTACGGTATGCTCAAGCACTCTAACAGACACTTACAACCAACACAGGTTTCATATTCCCTTTTTTCTCTCAGTGATATGCCAGATAAGCATCGAAGGGATACACCAATGACATCTCTACCACCCTTCTACGAGAAAATTTTATATGAGTTTAACACACCATGTGGCACTGTCACGTGGTGTGCACACCCAATAACAGGCTGCCACAAAAGTAGCTTGTGGAACACACAAGCTTGGCTCTTCAAAAAAAAAATCTGACGAGATGATAAATGATAGGTATTCATTGAACATATACAATTTTTTATTAGTGATGTACGTGTGGTGTGTTAAACCTACCAAACAATTTCCTCATTAGTTGCATGGCACTCATCCCATGCGGACTCCATGCTGCAGAACTATTGTTTCATTCTTTTTAGATCAAAATTAAAGATTGCATTCACCTTGCAGGCTTCTGGCTCGCTCTCTTATATTAATGTTCTTTTTACTTCTCAATTTTTTTTAAAAATCCTCTACAATTAACTAATCATACTAACAATCAGCTGCACAATCACAAAAGGGTCTTAGCCATTTTCATACAAATCGCAGAATGCTATTTCTCATGAAATTTCCGATCTTCGAAATTAAACCTGAAACGGCTAGTGGCATTCGAAAACATATCCCATTTTTCTTTTTATGTTTCCGCATTTGTACTGAATGTCATCGTTATGGAAACCAGATTCAACTGTCTATTCATACCTGCTTTGCTCTGTCCAGCACAGGTAACACATTAGTTGTAACGGAAGTCACAATCCACAAACCAATAAGAATAATGATATCTAAGGGATTGTTATATACCTGATAAAATTAGGTCTGTCCCTCATCTATGTGAATTTTGCTAGGAATAATAGAAATAATCCATGCATTTTAGGGTTTTCACTTCCTTTTAAGAGCCTAGGTTGCATTTTAGTTTAAGCAAAAGATTTAGGACTCCTTTTCATTAGATACCATAGGTAGGCTACAAGCAGAAAAAAGAGAGGATAAACTATGAAGAGAGAAAGAGACGAGATGACTACAAAAGCTAACAGGTTAATCTTGCTCACTACTGTCAACCCAGTTCCTGATTGCTTGCAAAACTGCTTGTTTTACCACATGAGCATTTATACTATCAACTTGTCCTTCATTCTGCATAGTCAAAAAGGACCTTTTCAATGTAACATAAAAAATTATTCTATCATTGAATACATATAAGAACACACATTATTATTGTGAAAATCCACCAACTAGTAACCCATAAAACTGCCAAAAAAAAAGACAAAAAACAAACGTATTATATGCTAGCTCCTCACCAATTTGCCAGCAGACAGAATTTAGGAAAAAAAAAACCTGAAAATGTATGGTAAGGCATGAGGCTGATTTGTATTGACTCACACAAGATGTTTAAGCAAGTAGATGATATCAGGTTCCTGAACCTCAAATCTAAATGCTCCTTTTTTCACTATTTTATTTATTTCTTTCTATTTTTTGTTCTTCAATATAAATCGAAAACAAGAAACAAAACATATTTGGATTTCTTACTGTTTTTACTTTCGTGAAAACATTTGCAAATTTGGAATGCAAAAGTTACAAAAAATATTTTCTTATATTTGAAACCAAAAATACGATGGGTGACTGTATGTTTAGAGAGGTAATCAAACGATCATCCTTATATGTTTAGTGAGGTCAAACCCTCGATCTCCCTTAATAGCAAAATCCCTTCCTGCATATCCTTGGTGTTAGTGATAGTTGATAGTTGAGGGTGGCTATGTACAGCTGATGCTAAATTCAGGGGTTCCATGAAATTAGTCCTAATTTCCTAGATGTTATGACCAAATGCCTGTTCGTACAAGACATATCAGTGAACTGTATTGGCATAATACATTTTTCAATACTGAAAGATTGAATTGCAATGTCATAATATTTTGAGTTTGAATATTCTGTAACCGCCTCAGCTCTATTTGAGATTCTTTTTCCCTCTGTAGGAAAATGAAAACTTTGCAACAATCATTGTATTCCATTGTCACATGTGTCTACCGAACATCTAATGTTTTTATCGAGAGCGAAAAAATAAATACATAAACATGTTTATGTTTTTATTGTTTTGCATTAAAAAAAAATGACAGAAAAAATTAGCAGATGCCCCCTACATATTGCTTCTAAGAATTCTGACATATATTTATTCAAGTACTTGAGTTGTACACAGATTTATGATGTAGTTGATTGGACCAAGCAATAAAGAAACCTAAAACACAGAGGTAATTTAAGAAGAAAGTTACTCTCTTACTTCGCCTCCTATTGCTTCTAGACGAAAACTCTCCGAACAGGAAACCCTAGCATCAAGCACCTCAAGGCCCAACTCCTCAAATGCTTCAAGTATTGAGACAAGCAAACCTGGACAATTCTTTTCTGAAAACACATTAATAAGGAAGCCCTTTTCTAGGGTTTCCACAGTAACCTGCAGTAGTGTTAATAAGAACAAGAAGATGGATAAAGATTCATTATGCTCAATAAAGGCAGCCCATGAAAGAGGAACGAAGAAGCACTGTAGCTGATAATATATAGTACCTTTGGTAATGAATTTTTTGAAGTAGAAACATCTTGGTGCAGTCTTTCCACTTTTTCCTTCAGATCCTCTATATACTTAGACGCGTCTACGAGAATTGATGCCTTGTTCACCTGCCCAAGACAAATTTAACAATAACAAAAGATAATTAGAACAAATCAATAATTAATTTATTGCGGCATAATAAGATTTTTACTTGTATTGTAATGCAGAATGAAGGGAAATTTGGAAGAATTGTTTTGGTATATATTCGAGGCCCACATGTGACCAACATATATATATTATTTTTTAATAATGTTCTGCCCACACAAAGTACAATTCACTCAATAACTCGTTTCTTTCAAAGGAAAGAATAAGAGATGAAACAAATAATCGACTAAGATTAAAATGAATCAAACAGATAACCGACTAAGATTGAGTCTCTCTCAATCTCTTGGAAACATGTACCGTATCCTTGATACACTACTATCTCTCCCTCTTCGTGTGTGTGGAGCAATAAAAAGGGAAACAAAATGCTTTCAAATTTTGATTTAAAAAAGGGAAATAATAAGAGATGAAAGCCAAAAAAAACAGTTGCTTGAAAAAGGTAGGGGTTCTACAGCACTGGAGTTGGTCACAGAGCGAAGTTGATGCAACTTTTCATGTAGAGCTGCTCTCTTTTGATCCTTAGAGCCCATGCTTCTCCTTATTATCTTCACCTCTCTCTCTCTCTCTTTTTCTTTCTGGCACTATGGCAGGTTTTGGAGGGGTTTTTAAAGGAGACGGTGAGCTCACAAAACCTGCAATGACCTGTCCGTTTCTTGCAAACGACCACGGCAAGGAGCATGGGAGACCATGACGTCATACATATTAACCCTCTACATAAGCCTGATTGTAATGACTGCCATCTAGGGGCTGTTAGGTAAATGGAGATGGAGTATGACATTTTGCATGAGCCATGAAATGATGAAAGATATGCAAGAGAGAGAGAGAGAGAGACCTGTGGGATATGGAGACAAAAGGATGACGCGAAGAAGAGAAAGAGAGGAGAGATGGTCTAGAGATCCCCCGTGAGAAGTGTTTGGAGGCATTTGACAGCTAATACACCAATACAAATACACTTACAACTCAATCTTTGACACCTTCCTTCTCTTCTTTCAATGCCATCTCTCTCTCTGTCACCGACCCTCTTCTTCGAACAAATATTGAGTATAACCATTACACTAATATTAATATGATATAACTATTTAATAAAAAAGATAAAATATGGTCTATTTTTTATCATAAATATAGTTATGTATGATATGGTCAAGTAATTATGAGTTTTAGTAAGATCCATTTATTAATTTGTTTAACCAATATAAGGATATGATGCAATGGTTATGCCCAATATTTTTTCCCCTTCCTCCTATCACGAGTCAGATTCCTTCCTTCAAAGCTTTCTCCCTCCCTCCCTCCCTCTCTCTCTCTCCACGTGCCATTCTATTTACCTCATCATTCTACGCGTCAGTCAATTTCCTTTCTATCATCGTACCATTCTACTGCTATTCCAACATTATGGGTGGAGCTAGCTGTGGGAGATCTCTCTTTTTTTTTCTCTCTCTCTCTCTCCCCCCGCCCCCCCAGAAAAAATGCAAACTCCATGACCTACATTTACTTGTCCAATTCAGTGGAATTACTATTATCAGGAAGGTCCATAATTACAAGCATCAAAAGATTCTTATAACAAGACTACTAAAAATTAAATACTGAACAACATTTTTCATTCTGATAGCAAGTCACATGATGCCCTATTCGTACAAAGCTATGTAAGCTGCAGCATGCACCGATATACAGTTACAAAATATGTTGGCGTATTAAGTGGACCATCAGCAATTGCATAATGTCAATAACATTATGTCCGTTTTCTTTTTGTCTCAGTAAGTAAATATTCCATCCATATTACGAGGTTGAAAATGACTGCAGAGAAGTTAATTTTTTCTATTGCATTTTTATTTCTTCCTGACCAATCCATGCTGTTATTTACCTTTTTAAGGCAGGCATTATTTCATCTGTAATGCTTACATCTGATTGCTGGAAGAGTGAAATAGCAATTTTGGAGATTTATCATGAGGCCGGTTTAAGTAAATTCACTTCTTATCTGACCTTGTCTCCGTTCCACAAAGACAAACCAACACGTACCCACCTATTCACATGTGTGCCATTAATCATCACAACCAAACAATACACCACAAACACATACACACACACATCCTGTTCTAACCTTGTCTCTTGCCCTACTTCCAATGTTGCTATCCATAGAGGTTATGGGAGCTCTGGAACGTTTGCATTTTCATTTGCTGCTTGACCTAAATATAAGTGAGACTACTCACATATACTGAACCATCTGAGTTAACCAGTGGTAGTATCATGTCCAGAGCTAGGATGTTCATACTAACCCACAAACTACGTATATCACTTAATTCAGGATTATCTCATACAACTCGAATATAGGATGTTACGTTAGAACCCTGAAGCTGTGTCATCTAGACAGTCCTAACGACTTCACAAGTTACATTAAACATGGATTTGATTGAGGGTAGAGCCCATTCCAAGCAAATTTGGGATATAGCAATTTTCCCTAATGAAAGATAAACCAGTGACCTTGGTTTGCATGGGAATGCATGTCGGTAAGCATTTACAGTAGTAGGAATCCACCCAGGAGTTTAGGGGGGCTGGGCTGGGCTGCAAAGGGAGGATTGCTTTTGTTAGAGTTGTTTGTTATTTTTTCCCGGATTGTTAGCACAACTTGTTAGCACTTTCTGGCCCCCTCTTGCTGCTTCTAAGTAATTCTTACTTTAACCTTTTAAAATAAGATGCAGCCTTGTTTAAGTTGCAGCTTTGCAACCAAATAGGATTGTGATCATGAGAAGATTCTTTACACAATATGACTGTTTGTTTACCCTCACACGTTTCCCAGAAATATTCTTTGTTCTACAAAGCCTGTTTTGCATGAGTTGACAACCCCTTTAACTGTATATAATCGTCCTGGCATTGAATTAATACAACACTTACTTCTTCAGAAAACTCCCCACAGTAAAAAAAAATAATTGAAAATGTTCCCTGTGGCTATTATGTGGTGCATTGCTTATGGTATGTCTGAGCTTTGTAAATTAATTCTAAAAACAGAACAGTCACAGCAAAAAAATGAATAAAAAGCTATAATTACATGTCCAATCATAAGATGTAGACAGTAAAATTTGGAAATGTGTCTCGTGACAAACCACAATTATTTTCCGGGGCTTGACTGCTGTATATGACGGGTCACTACATATCTGTCCAATAAAAATAAACCAAAAAGTTATATTTGGTAGAAACCTATCGAGCAATGATATATATATTTAAAAAGTAAATTTAAAAATTATATTTGATAATCATAATCATTAATTTTATTATAAGTTCTATTATTTATTGAGACCTATTATCTATTCAATGATTGTGATTATCAAATTTATTTTTTAAGTTTAATTTTTAAATTCATGTACCAATACTCAATCCTATCTAAAGATAGTAACAATTAATTTACAATCCTCCAAGAGAAAAACAATATAATGTCCTTAGGCGTGTTGACTTGTGCATGATTGTATTACGTAATTAGTTATCTCACAGAGTTACGGTTAAAAATAGCATACTAGATTGTTAAGTGTATTTAGTTAACAAATGGTTGAGCCTTGAGACTTGATATGTGGTTAATATTCTAAGGAAGTGAAAAGTCAATATGTATCTTCCAATCTATATGTATGCTGAAATTATGAAATTCATATATGAAAATTTATTTCTAAAAACTAGTTTATATTGACTTTATTTTCTTTATTACAAATGTGAAAAGACTGAATAATAATCAACATAAGTGATATCAACAAGATGGACGTGAAACTTCATATTAGATAAATAAAGTCTTGGTGAAGAAGATCGAAATGACAAGTGGAATCAAAGGGTTTATCGGTATACAGTAATCGCCCTTTTTTGTCTTTGATGGTAAAAATTATGATTATTAGTGTGTGAAGATGAAAACTATATTTTTCTCTTATAATCTTTGAAATTTCATTCAAATTGGGTATGAATATCCAACCAAAGAGATGACAACAACTCAAATGAGCCAATTAAAGGAAACCAAGAAGAAGGATGCAAAAACTCCTCATTTGATTTAACAAGGAATAACGGATATAATTTTTTTCAAGAATTCTCAATATAACAAAGTCAGATAACATGAGACACTTTAGAAGATGAATATCGTGGTGCTACGAAAGTAAGAGCCATGAAACTACAATTATTGAGAATAGTATAATGAAAGAAAACGAATTCTTAAGAGATTTCTTCTCTAGGCTTATGGATATTGTAAATCAATAGAAAACTTTTAAAGATCAAATTTTAAAGTCAAGAATTGTTGAGAAAATTTTGATTGGGTTCCAAGGTTGAGTAAGCACGCCAAAAAATATGTTATGAGTGTTTTTCAATCCAAGCTTAATATTGACTCCAAAAGTCATACAAAAAATATGAGATTTGCAAAAGATTATGAAAAACCTCAATGTTTTAATTGTAATAAGTTTGATTATTTACAAAAAAAATTGTCAATCAATAAGCTAATTTTTTCGAAGAGCAAGAAAGTAGTGAAAACACGTTCTACATTTATTAAGCAATGTCTGAGCAAATCAACAATATGTGATATATTGATAGTGGTTGTAGTAACTATATGACCGGTGATAATAATATTTTTGTAAACATAGATACCATTTCATATTCTCAAGTAAGGATGACAAATGATGTTATGATTCAAACAAAAGGCAAGAGAACCATTGCTATTGAAACAAGAAAGGAATAAAATATATCCAAGATGTCTTCTTAGTACCGGACTTAGAACAAAACTTGTTGAGTGTTGGTCAACTTGTAAAGTATAAATACTCCGTGGTGTTTAACGATAACTCTTGTAAGATCTATGATCTTAGAGAGAAAAGACAAGCTATAATGAAAATTGAGATGGAAAAAAACAGAAATTTTTCTCATTTTTCGATATTCAAACAATGTTTTCTTTGAATTTGAAAGTTGTTGATGAATCTTAGCTTTGGCATAGAAGATTTGGACACTTAAACTTTCAAAGCTTTAAGAGTTCACAATAAAAGAACATGGTTTATAAATTGTCATATATATAGAAACATAAAGAAGTTTATGAAGGATATGCACTTGGAAGGCATCATCAAGATTCTTTTCCAAAAGAAAAAGATTTAAGAATCAAATCACCATTAGAGCTTGTTCATACCGATATATGGGGACCATCAAGAACACTTTCTCATGGAAATAACAAATACTTCATTGTCATTATTGATGATTTTTCAAGAATAACTTGCGTTTATTTATGAGACAAAAATTTAAAGTTTTTAAAGTATTCAAAAAGGTCCAAAAGTTTGTTGAAAGGCAAAATGAATACTATATTAATGTCTTGAGAAGTGATAAAAATGGTGAATACAACTCTAATGAATTTAATAAGTTTTATGAAGACATTGGAATAGAAAGACAATTGACAAGTGGGTATACTCCACAACAAAATGGAATAATTGTAAGAAAGAATAAATCCATTGTTGAGATGTCAAAATCAATGGTTTTTGAGAAAATGTTACCTAAATCATTTGGGCCGAAGCGGTATACACGACGGTTTATTTGATAAATAGATGTCCAACAAAGGCTTTGAAAAATCAAACTCCAACTAAGGCATGGTGTAGAAGGAAGCCGTCGATGAAACACTTAAAAGTTTTTTTGTACATTTATTTTGCACATGTTCCTAGAGAAGTGAGGTACAAATTTGATAAAGTAGTGAAAATGCATTTTTGTGGATTATAGCTCAAA